AAAAAATTATAAGAATAAAAAAATTTGAGGAAAAAAAAGTACGAATGATAATTTTTTTTGTGTTCGGTAAGATGAATGAAAAATAAAAATAATTAATTTTTTTCTTGTGCTTATTAAGATTAGAGGCGACGATGATCACAAATTCAATGAAAAAATAGAATGAAATGCCCCCCTCCCCCTTTTTCTCTCTCTATCCCTAACTCTCTGTGGTTCGGATCTTTTATTGTACAGTAGGAGTTCTGTTCCTCAAAACTATATCATTTTACACAAAACAACATCGCATCTTTACTGTACAACAGAGGATTTGTTCCCTCTTCTCTCTCTTGTCCGGATCCTCTACTGTACTGTGGGAGTCCTATCCCTTAAAATGACATATTTTATAGAAAACGACGTAGCATCCATACTGTGCAACAGAGGATTTCTTCTCCTCTCTCTTTGTGCCCACTCATAATTGGCCAATCCAAAACTATCATCCAGCTGGTCTATCAAGGGACGGTTACCTTCCTCCCAACTATAATATCTTCACCTACTGACTGACTCTCTCTCTCTCTCTCTCTCCTTCCCCTGTTTCTGGATTGATTTCCTTCAAATTAAGCAAAAAGAAATGGCAGAAGAAGAACCAAAGAAGTTAGAGACTGAAGCACCATCATCGGAGCCTCCACCGTCGGCTCCGCCACCAGAACCTGGAGAAGCTCAACCTCCAAAAGATGTCGTCCAGGAGAGAGCCGTAATTCCACCTCCTGACGAAAAACCCGATGACTCCAAAGCGCTCGCCGTCGTTGAAAGTAATCTCTCTCTCTCTCTCTCGTATGCACATAACTCCTTTCTTCTTCATCTTTAGCCAATTCCATGGTTTCTGAAAGAATTTTGGATACTTTTTTCCTTTGATAAAGCAGCGAGGAAAAGAACAGAGAACAAATATACAAAATAAAGATTGGGTATGGGAGATGTTTTCTTTGGAGGTGAAACACAACTTTTTTCACCGGAGTTTTTGAGAACATATTCAAAAGATTTGAACTCTCAATCTTCAAAAGCCAAACTGAATTGTAAGGAGACTTCGATATAACTGAAGAAGAGGGAAAAACACAAGAAAAGAAAATGAAACCGTGGGGAACAAAAATCTTTTCACTACAATTTTCGAGTTTTTGAGATGTAAAAAGATTTATTTCCTTTACCCATTAAAGGAAAATATTGGATTTAGTCATAATAGCTAAAAACTTCTTCAGATCTATGAGTGATTCTCGGGATTTCAAAGTCACAAATTCGCACCCTTTTTCATTTATTCTGTTTTTTTAGTTATTGGTCTAGCTCAGATTCATCCTTATCAAAATTTCTGAAATTCAATTCAATTCTAATAATTTCCTGTTGGGATTTACATTTTCAAAGTATGGAAAACTCGGGAATTGGTGGATCCTCCAATTCTCTTTGAAGGTTGAAGATGTTCCTACCCAAGCAAATCTTCCATCCAAACCCGAAAAACTCTTCATAGCAACTCCCTCTCTCCTCATCTTCCATCCCACAACTCAGTAGCCAGCTTCACTGATTAATTTTTTATGCATGTGACAGAGGCACCAGAACGTGGAGAGAAGAAAAGTTCTGAAGGATCTGTCAACAGAGGTAACCAAGATTCCTTTTTCAACGTTCAGTTTCTCTAATTTGTTTGCACAAACATGTATGATTCGAACTTTTATTCCTTGTACTTTTTTTTCATCAGATGCTGTGCTTGCGAGAGTAGCAACAGAGAAGAGACTGTCATTAGTCAGAGCATGGGAGGAAAGTGAGAAGTCAAAAGCAGAGAACAAGTATAGAGCTTCTTGATCATCATATTGAGTATTTTATTGCCAATCTTTGTCACAAGAGTTTTAAGTTCTATGAAGTGGCATTGATTATACCAAAGGAAAATCCTTAATTGTTTCCAGCTGACAAAAAAAACACTGAGTGTTATTCTGATCTTTTGATAAGAGTAAAGGGAGAAGACTACGTCACCCAAAAAAAATTTCAGTATCGTATTGTCAAATTTTTTAAGTTTTGTGGGTTGAAAACTTGAGATACAAATTTTTAGGTTTGTTTACAACTTTTGGGATTGTTTGGAATCGATCCTAGAATGTTTTAAGATCAATCCCAGGCAAATTTTTTTTCGGGTATAAAATCCATTCTTGAAGTTTTCCTTTTTATGAGGATGAGCTGAATCTGATATCTGGTTGTCATAATTCAGTTAAATAATGAATAATGGTTGTTATGGGAATCATATTTGCTAATTTTAACAATCTGAAATCCTTGAACAGAGCTCACAAAAAGCTATCTTCCATTGGTGCATGGGAGAACACTATGAAAGCAACTGTGGAGGCTGAGCTCAAAAAGGACGAGGTAACAAATCATCATTTATTTTATAGAAGATTATGAAACTGCACTCACTACCCAATTAAAATTGTGAGAACCTCCTCATCTCTGTTCATTCTTCTGGTGAGAATATCCGGTTCTCACTACATGAGGTTTCTACTACTACGGGATGATATCTGGGGCTTTTCATCAAGATATACCATCAAGTAATTGTATGTTTAGGAAATCCAACTCAAAGGCACCTGCTCTAAAATGTAGTGGAGTGAAGAGAGTTTTCTTAGGCATTGATTGTGTAAAACTTTAGCAATCTCCTGATGGTGAAAAAGGCCTTACTTATCGGATTTGAGTATGTTTTGACACGATATATGTATGATGAGCAGGAGAAATTGGAGAAGGAGAAGGCACAATATGTAGAGAAAATGAAAAACAAGGTAGCACTCATCCACAAATCAGCAGAAGAAAAGCGGGCAATGATTGAAGCAAAACGCGGTGAAGACCTTCTTAAGGCGGAGGAGATGGCAGCAAAATGGCGTGCTACTGGCACCTCTCCTACAAAACTCCTCGGATGTTTTGGAAGCTGAAACTATCAGGTCTTATTTGAAAGTTGCTGAATGTTCCCTTTGTAAATTTTTCTTTGGGCTTTTATTTTACACTTTAGGTGTATTGTGTACTTATATACTGGGGGAGAATTGGTGATTGTTCATTATTATGTATACATAGTGGTAAATTTGTATGTATATTGCCCTCACGTGAAGAAAAATGTTCTTGAAAATGACTTATTACCAACTATTCTGAACTATCCCCCTCTCCCCTTAAAGAAAAAGGACTGCCTTCCCTTATTTTTTTTCCTCAGGTTAAACCAAGTACTGTTTCATATTGTTTTTCTAATTTTTTTGTATAATTTTTATATTTTTATAGCACTATGGCTGTTACTCTGTTCGTGTGTTTATGTTTTTGGGGTTTAGAAGGCTTCAGAAGTTCAGTCCTGGTAGTCAGAGTTTATCGAAAATGCGCCTCAGATAATATGGGATTGCAATGCTCTATACTAGTGAACACACAGAACTACTGGCAAAGTAGCCCACAAATTACCATATCGTATTTTGAGGTACCTTATCCCTAATTTTCTTCACAAAGAATATAATGAAATGTAACAATAGAGACAGATTCACACATCTTCAGCATGCATAAAATGTCTGGTGGATTACTAAAACATCAACCATGTAGATCAGTTTTTGAAGACAACCACTTAACAAAAACCCCTTAGCAGTATTTGCTATGTCCTAGGAAGACCAACTAGAGTGATTAGAAGGTTCCTTACAGGTCATGTGACAGGCCCCAGAATGCCATCAGCTCCATGCATACTACTTCAAACAGTACCCTCTAGGCAATCTGATTTAATGTTGAGAAAAATGGAAACATCATATGTCTCTCCTTCTAGTAGTTCCATATAATTACAACTGGGGATATCTAGCAGCAGCTTTTGTGCTGTATCTGAGAAATCATCCAATTTATATGAATTTGAGGAGCGTGAACCAGCCGCCATATCTTCTGGATCCTGTTTGCAGCTAATCTGGGTCATATCTGTTTGTTTGTCAGCCTGGTCGATTGACGTAAATTTCTGGGCAAGCATAGAGACTCCTGAAACTGATTCAACTTTTGTCAATGAGGATGTCTCAGACATTGGGCTTTGACATGCCACTTCATCTTGTTCTATAGTTTTTCGAAATGACTCCCCCACTTCAGAATACCATAGACGGAGGAAGTAGTTGCACTCAGTTGATGATGGTTTGAGGAGCAATGAATTCATTGACTGCTGGGCCTCAGCCTCCACTCGGGCACACTCGTTCTGTACCATATGGCGAGTCGATGCGGACTCGGGTTTCATGTGCATTGATTTAGTACCAGAGGATTGCCCATGGATCTGGAAGTTGAGGCCTTTATTAAACAACTGCTTCTTTAGATGAGAGTTCCAGAAATTCTTGATCTCATTGTCCGTTCGTCCTGGTAAATGGGAGGCTATGGCAGCCCACCTGAAAAAAGCAGGAACTAAGTCTGTGCAGCAAAGTAAAATTGCACAAATTCACAACACCTTAGCCAATTCACTTGGAAAACAACATAAATTAGAAAATTAAACACCAAATATTGAGTTCACTAGTGTTTATGTGCGGAAATAGCTTCTGTTGTTGTAGGGGTAAGACTACGTATATCTAATCCTCCCCAGACCCCGCAATGACAGGAGCCTCGTGCACTGGGTACAACCACTAGTGTTATGTAGCCTACAATTGTTCAGGATTCAGTAAATTTGCTGCTCCCACTGAGCTGCACTGAGAAATAATACTCTTCATTCTTAAATGCAACCAGTAAGTACAGTCATAGATGAAATTTCACAAAAGCTCAACTCTGAAAGTATTGTACCGGTCTTGGAAAATCTAACAGATGCCAACAGCTGTACATTCAAGTGGTATCCTAGGAGAGCCTCCAGGAAATATTAACTTTGAAAAACGCATGCCTGTAATACCAAATATGCAGAGCAGAACGTGATTACCTTATCAAGTCGTCCTTTTTCATTGGTGTAGATCAGATGGGGGCTATATAGTTGTCACGTTTGATTAAGACAAGGGTGGCATAGAACAGAAGCAAGGTATTTGGACTATAACTTGCTGCTTGCTATGGTAACAAATATAATTTCAGAACTTAGCATTAATACAGAAAGAGACTTATAATTCATGAAAGAGTACACTATATGTGAAAGGACAAGTGTGCTTTACTTTTTTGGAGGGGTGAGGGGAAACGTCCAAGCTCTTCACATGTCCTATAAAAGCTTGTAAAATAACAAAATCGAAATGCTGACATCTTCCACCCAAGATTTGCAAACAAATACGTGATTGAAAAGAATACGTGAAGCTAAGTAAAAATGTTCAACAAGCACATTTGTTTATGCTTTTAGAACAACCCTATCGTGTAATGGGTAATTTTGAACAAACTTCTTAACCATGATACCAGGAGTAAAGTAGTACAATAGTCCAATTTAGTATTCATCTTGGCCCTGTATGTGACAGAGAAGTTGCATATCAAACATCTAAAACTAACAAGCAGCAAGATAACTACAGAGTCTAGAAGAAAATTTTAATGACAATCTCCAATGGTCATATAGAAATTCAGCTAGTAAAAAGGAATCTGGAATAGAAAAATGAAGCAATTAATTACTTGTTACCGAGCATGCCTTGCAGCTGAACAATAGTATTCTGTTCCTCCGGACTTAAGGGACCAAGTTTAATGTCAGGGCGGAGATAGTTTGTCCACCGAAGCCTACAGCTCTTTCCGCATCGGAGAAGACCTAGAAAAATGGTTTAATGCAATTTCTCAACTAATTTCTGGATTTTATCCAACAGTTGAAAATGAGACTCCATATGATGATATGTAAGAACACAAAATAGCCAACACAAGGACCCCTTTTAATTTTATGAGTAAACAAAATATAGGTGCAGGTCTTTACGTGCAAGTTGTTGAGTTCTTGGATTTGATTTGGTTATGTAAAGAACACATTAGTTCGATTATCCATGTGTTGGTCCAATAAGTGAATCAAAGACAGGAACCTACTAATGTCGTAGGCATAAAGAACTAAACATATTTCCTATATTTTGCATATCTAATGTGTCACACATCAATTGATTGATGCAAACATCAAGCATCTGTTGGACAAGCAGAGCCTTCTCAAACTTGATAACCCTCCCGTAGTGAGGTGCAACACAAGGGCTAATTAATCAAAAGAGCTCATAGCAACATCCTGAATATGATGCTAAATAGTACCCATGCTCAATTATGAGACCAAAAATAACCACGATTACACATTGGAGCAATGTCACAATTCGGGAAATACATGTAGAAAGAAAGAATCATCTGTAATCTGAATTTGTTTACGGGCAAGCATACTAACTCCTCTTATTATCTCATTGGGTTTTTAACTGTGTTCAAAGCTTCCAAAGAAAAAAAGCATAATGGTTAGGTATCCCTAGTATTAGCTAGTTTAGACACTGTAAAGAAGTCTCTGGCTTTCAGTTGAAATATATTTTGATTTTCTGCAGTTCAAGAAAATTTGCAACAAGCTAAACAAGACAGAACTTCTTAGTCTCTTACGACATACAAATCAACACAAAGGTGTCTCAGTATGCACAAATCAGAATTCTATGTGCCTTCACCAAAAGATGCATACTCAACCATCAAAGTATTTAACCTTCAAATTTCTTTCCAAACCTAACACTCAACAACCACTAAACTATGCATACCCAAGTTATGACAATATAAAAAACCCAATACTAGAAATTTAATTTATAAACTTTAAAAAAGAAGAAATTTTGTATAATACTAAAACAAAATCGAACCTGCACGTTGAGGGAGAGAACGCCAGGTACCATGGCCATTCTTGGTGATGAAGTCAATAAGAATCTTATCCTCTTCAGGACTCCATGCTCCTTTCCTCACAGCATCTTTGTCACAACAAGGTGCTCTTCCCATCTTCTCCCTCTCCTCATTCAACCCTCGAAGCATCAGAAAGTCTTTATGGATATGCTTTTTTTGTGAGCTGTGGAGAGAGAAACAGATATGTAGATGTTGATAAGACGGATCAAACGAATGTCGAAGGCATTGAATGCTCTGGATCCCATCTTCTTCATTAATCGAAACACATTATGGCAGAGATCCGTACAGCCCGTAATCAATATCGGTTGGGGTCCTCAGAATGTGGACTTTGCATTTACTCCTAGTTACATTACTATCTTGTTCTACGCCCAAATATATATAGTCTCTCTCAGCCACATTTTACGGAGAAAATAAAAAAAAAATGGCGGAAACGAAAAGGAGGTGAATTTGGTAGCGATGGATACTCACCAGAAAGTCACGTGTTTGTGGCTAATCATAATTTTTGGGGAGTTGAGTTGATGAGTTCACAATTTTTGTCCATGTTCTTCGATCCAACAGTAAGTTTAGGGCTTGTTCAACCACCATATTCGATTTCGGGAGCTGAAAATTTCGAGAATTGGAAAATGTTTCTCTCTCTCTCTCATCGTCCTCCTCCTGCTGCAGCTCTGAGCTGGTGTGCTTAGGCTCTCCGGTGTACTTCTGGGGTGAATCAGATTTAACATTTTGTACCCTACAAGATTTTAAAATTTTCAATTTACACTCCTAATAATTAGTTTTCTCATATTACACCCTCGGTATTATAAAATAGTTGTAATGCGGTACTGACACTAACTTCCATAATTATTTTTATCAAAATTCACTGCGTTTAGGGTGGGGGCCACAGAGCAGATTTGACAAAAGTTATAACAGAAATCAGTGTAAGAACAATATTGAACTTATTTTATATTATTGAGGGTGTAATATAAAAAAATTAATTATGAAAAGTGTAAATTAAAAATTTTAAAATCTTTTAAATTACAACGTGTAATTTGCTCTTACTCATTTACACGCTAAAAGAGTAAAAGATCACAGAAAGATGTGAATTGATTAGGCAAATTCTATTGCAGCCCCTATAGTTTGGTTGAATTACACTTTACTCCCATCAAAGATAATATCATAATAACTATTTTGAGTTCGCATACCAAATACGTACGTGGATCTGCATGGGCCGGAGCAGGCATTGGACATTGGAAGGCCCAATAGAGAGGACCGTAGCTAGCTTGTTTTTTGGGTCGGGTTGCAAGCCAACCTGACACAATGGTCAACCTTGCCATTGGGCCGCAATCTACTTAGCTGGTTTATAATTTTTTTTTTTTTCATTTAATCATGTTCAAAATAGTATTCGCGTATTTTGATTAATTTTTTTTTTATCCGGTCAAAGGCATCTCAATATCGGAACTAGGATATTCACGAATGATAAATCTCTTATAGCCTAATTTCAAGAGACCAAAATTCGAATTCAAAACTTTTATATTTATAACTCATTCCGATTATTACTTGTACTATCCTTTGGTTCGCTAACTTGTAATTTTGGAGGATCAATGGGTCAGACCACCTTTATGGGCAGGTTCGTTAGCTCCATTTGTACAAGATGGTGCAACAAGAAGACTTACAACCTATTTTTGTTTTTTTTAATCAAGTGATATACAGTCTAACTTATGCATATTTTGAATAATCATCAAATCTCCTCTATGGTCAATTTGACATATACATATCAATTTGAGACCGCGTTTCTTGTACCCGCCCAAAAAGTGTACAATTTGTATTAAACATCAGATAGCTCCAATAACAATATATGCAATAAATGTGTGAATGTTGGAGTTTCCATGCGTATGAGTAGAGGAATCTAACTGAGTTGTCAATACTATTTTAATTATCCTTATCCTTAAACCTTAAAATCAATTTTAAAAACAGTAATACTAAATTGATCAAATTTTGATACTAAATTTAGAATTCAAATAACATGACAGTTAATTTGGATTTTTTTGATTGATATGATGTCATTTGAACTTCAAATTTAATTTCAAAATTTGATCAGTATTACTCGTTTAAAATTGGCCCACCATGTTTCCATTTGTTTTGCCGTCCCTCGACATGTTTAAGCTTTTCTCCACCGCGTGTGGGTATCTTTTGAGCACACAACGAATAACTTCACCTCCAAGTTTTCTCTCATTTCCTTGTTCCTTCTCTTTTCCTTTCCTATAAAGCTCCTTTTTCTTCCTCTTTTAAGTCTCAAAACACCACAAGCCAGAGTCACTTTCCAAAGAGCTTCTTCAATTCTCCAAAGTTTGACCCACCAAAAACTTCAATCTTTTTAAGCCTTTGAACTTCTCTAGAGAGAGAGAGAGAGAGAATCTTATCCATTCAAAAAGATTGTTTCGAGATGGTGAAGCTAACAATAGTTGGAAGGGTGTGCGATGGGTTGCCTCTAGCCCAAGGTCAAAGATATGTCAATGAAAAGAATGACAACTTCTCAAGTTACAAGCAACAAGGAGAGTTCATACTAGAAGAAATCTCAAGAGGAACCTTGCCACTCTCAACGATGACCATTAGTGTCGATCAACACTGTTTCAAGTATCTTTTTCTTCTCCCATTTCAGCAAAAATAAGCACCTTCTTATGAATACATGTCATTGGATTGTGTATGTCTTAATGTCTTTAGGATCACATTTTTAGGACTTCCAAAGTGACACCATTTACATCTTTTATGTCATTCTTGTTGATGACTCCAAGACTCCTTGATGGCTCAGTTGTGATAAATTACTTTTGAGCAAAGTGGATTTGTCTAAGTGGTTAAGAAGTTGTACAGTGTACACCCTTAGGCACGACCTGGGGTCGAGTCAAACCCTCAAACTGCGAGTTCTATTCCCTGTTCCCCTTGGACTAAGCTTACTCATTGACGTAAATGAAATAAAAATTGATAAATTGAATGCATTTGAGTTCCATAACATGATTTTTGGTTGTATGCCTGTCAATGCAATAGAACTAATGTAATGCAAATTAAGCTCTATAGGAATTACATCTCAAAACATATAGCGGTGACTACATTTGTTTATTAAACTTAATGTTGTGGTTTTCAGCTATATGGTTGAGAATGGAGTTTGCTTCATTACACTCTGTGATTCCTCATATCCAATAAAGCTAGCCTTCCACTATTTACAAGATTTGCAAAGGGAGTTTGAGAAGTTTGATATGACCCTCTTGGAGAAAATTACAAAACCATACAGTTTTGTTAGATTTGGTAAAGCCTATTATGTTTCATAATCTTAATCTTCTTTTCCTTTGCTTCCCAGCAATCAGTAAATACCAATATTTGATGACTCGAGTTAATTCTTATTCGTTTCCTGTGGCTTGAAGATGGCATTATTAGCAGTACTAGAAGACAATACATAGATACAAGGACACAGGCAAATCTATCAAAGCTAAGTGCTAATCGTCGACAGGAACTAGATATTGTTACAGAACATATATCTGAAATATTTGAAAGAAGACGAAGAACGGGTGAGCTTATTATCATACTTAAGTGTTTCTATTGTTGAACTTCAATTACATTCAAGATGTGCAAATTACTAATGTGACTTTTTTTTTTTAGTATCATCAGAGATGCTGGAAATGATGATGGAAGCGCCTCGAAATGTATCTCCAGTCTGGGGTTCCAAAAGTCTTGAGGTATGTTCATCAATGTGCAATACACAAACAAGTCCATGTACCTTTCTCATTTGCCAAGAGGAAAAGCTTAATAAAGGTTTAGCAACCAACAAAGAACAACCATTTTCAAACTCCCCCTAAATTTTAGCCTTCCCTTTTTCTAAGCAGGTTATTGCATTGAAATGGACTCCAATTTCAATTATTCTCATGGTAGCTGCAGTTCTTCTATGGACCAGGGTAATCCTCTTTCGGATGATCTCCTTGTAACCTCATTTTAGTGTTGCTGATATTAGTTTAGATGACATGAACCGTGAAGTACATAACTATACGTGCAGGATGTATATTGGCTTCCACTGTCCATGTGAATAAACTTGGTGTTATGAGTTATGTTGTCTGGGGGTCATAGAACAATCAAGGAGAAGACGAGCTTCAGGCGAATTCTGGGATTCAAGTTTGTGCAAATTACTGCTGATTTTTAAAAGCCTCTGCTAAAGTCATTTTGTATCTCCCCTGTAAATATTATTAGTCTATTTTACATTGCAGTCAATGACTTTAGTTTTTTTTGTAATACTTTATAACTTCAACATAGCAGTTACCATATCTGCAGATTCGTAAGCATGGTCTGAGGCAGTGAAATGTGGCTCATTCTTTCATTACTGTATGAAAAAGAGTGAATTTTCAGTATCTTAAATATGTTAGAGATCAAGGGAAGTTGTATCCATTGATTCTATGGGAAATAGTTCTTGATTTCTATCAATAATCCATCAATATAGTATAAATTTAGAGGCCTGAAGCTGGCATGAATGTGCCTCACAAACATTATAAAACTGCAAATAAATGAGTCAATAATAGTGAATCACTTTGGGGGAGTTGGAAGGCAACAGGGTGTTCTATAGGCATCAATGCCTGTTGTACATGGCCTGCCCTTCCTCTTCAACTGCTTAATGCATAAATTGAAGTATTTTTGCATATATATTGTGCAAGGGTTCCCAAATCTGAGTTATTCTTTCCTAAAGCAGGAATAACTTACAGAATCATTTGTGTTTAGGATGACTGCTATATAAGGCCTACTTGGATTACAGATCAAAAGAAATTGCACCCCTCTTGCATATCGTTGAATATCAATTACAGCATGCCAACCAGTTTGCACAACCGCGTAAAATTGTGGCAACATGATACTGGTTAAACTGGCGTGTCCACATCAAAAACTTGGATTTACACAATGGTTGGGACTGTCGATTCTTGGGAACACTTCATCTTTGGCAACATGTAAGAGAGATTTGATACTCTCTTTATAATTCATTGTCGGGTCAATAGAAGTAGAGAGAAAATAATAAACGCAGTGCAAGTTACTTGGCAGTTGCAAACTCTGGTGGCTGTTGGAATTAGTTTTTGTTCCATGGCTTTAGTTTTACAGCATCTTTCCGTTCAATCTCTTATTAAGTTATGATTTGCTGCTTTCATCATTTGTCTCTAATGTTAGTACTTTGCTCTGCTTTTTCTTGATTTTCTTACATAAAAGTCGGTATCAATTAAACATAGGAGAAAAAAATATCGCTCCAAGCGCTACTTATTAAAATGTCACAAATCATTACAGAGATCATACAGTTGACTTTCAAATGATTTACACAAAGGGAGTCCTTGAAAGCAACTTCATGGGAACAATAATTACTAATTGAACCTCTTTGATTTCTGATGGTTTATTTCTAATGCATTCCTCCTTGCAAAGAAAAAGAGGTGGCCTACAACAGATGATTCTCAATGACCTGTTTTATTAGTCCATGTAGTGTGCTAGTGTAATTAGAAGTTATTCTTTCCTGAAGTTGCTTCAAAGGCACCTCTCATAAATACATTGCATCATTGTTCATGTGGAAATCCTCGGAGATAAAATCAAATAAACCACTCTCTGAGATCTGATCCTCAAACTTCATTTGTGGATGAAATATATCATCAACTGAACCACTGCTTAGCCCTTGGTGAATTTCTCCACAAAAAGTTCCTTCATTTTGCAATTTACCATGCATAAATCCATTTTGGAAATGTGAATTAAGGATCAGATTATCCTTTGAAACTACTTGATTGCTTGCATTCTTGAAGCCCTGGCCTTGAAATTCATCCAGTGACAACCACTCAGCAAATAGTAGCCTTGGTAAATTGCTCTGGCGGGTCTCTTTTGGAAAATTGAATTCCTGTGGTACACATTGATCTGTATCTGTCGATGATCCCCCCATATGTTGAAACGAGTCCATACTTGGATTCCTGTTTGTCGATTTTGGGGAAAAAAGTGAGCAGTCCACATTTTCCATGATTGAACTTGTGTGTGTAGATGTATTCTGGGCTTCAGTTTCTTCAGCTTTTGATACTTTTTTCTTCAAATAAGAATGCCAATAGTTCTTGATTTCGTTATCAGTTCTTCCGGGCAAATGCTGTGCTATCTGAGACCACCTGACCAATTTAACAGTATGCCCCTGATGAGTTTCTTTTACTTTTTCTTAACAACCCATTTTTTAACACATGATATAATATATCGATCCGAATTTATTTAGAAAATAACTTAAAAAATTTTGTTTCACCATCTACAACGGTGTTGGGTCAACCATCTAGAAGAGTAATGGTTTAGAATCTAATACAATATAAGTGAGATAATGCTCCAAAAGTTGCTTACTTGTTGCCTAACATGGCATGCAGGGTCAGGATGGTCTCCTCTTCTTGTATGGTAAACATTCCTCTCTTTAATCCTGGCCTCAGATAATTAATCCACCTGAGTCTGCAACTCTTTCCATTTCTTTTCAAACCTGCAAGTATTAGAGGGTTTTCACTTGACTTGTTCCGGTACCAGAGAGGTCAGAAATCAACTAATAAGATTGATACTTTCTTACTCTATCACATTGCCTCTAATCTAACAAATGGAATTCATTGAGAAAGATCATTCACCAAGAACAGGAAAGGAATTACACCCCCCCCCCCCCCCGTTTACACGTGACACACCCTCATTGGACAAAACGAGGAGGTATGAAACTGAAAAAATTATAGTAATGCTACCCTTTTCATATATCCCGACTGTATACATGCTTAATAATTCTTAAGCTTGGAAACTGTTAATCTGTGGGCATGTTAATAATGTCATTCACAGGCTACATGTATCAATGCTTAGAAATGGTTTTAGACATACAGGTATGCAACACTAAAAGGTCTTGGAACAAATTAAACATGGCAGCTAAAGAACGTAAAGTTCCCTTCAGCAGAATAATGGGAAGTTAACTCACCGGCATTGATGGCTACAGTGCTCCAGCAGCCATGGCCATGCTTGAAAATGTAACTTCTAAGCCTTAAGTCTTCATCCGGTGACCATAAGCCTTTCCTGTGCTTCTGATTTGGCTTCTCCAGTGTCTTACACCCCATGATGCAAAGAAAAAAAATTCAAAAGGGACAAATAAATGTAGTCTACTATCTGAGCTTATGAGCTATGAGCCTATTACTTTGTGTGTGTAGAGAGAGAGAGAGTTGATGATAAGGTAATGGACAGCAGACCTAGATGGTCTGGAATTTAAAGGGATGATTAGTTGTTGTTTGCTCTTTCTAAAAGTAAACAACTATAAAGTCCAATCAATTTTTTTTTTCTACCAAAAAGAGAAAAAGAAAGAAAGAACAGAAAAAAACTTGCATATTAAGCGAACGGAGGGCGGGTTTTCCTAATATGTAAACCGCCTTTGAAGATATAAAAAATTATCAATATTCCTGGTACTTTTTCTTATATGTGGCTGAGTCAGGCTGACCTTTACATACTTACCCAATTACTACAATCGGTGTCCCCTTCGGAGAATGCTTAGAATTGACATAACAGCCTTAAGTTCAGCAAAAGTCTCTTCAAAATCAGAAAATGTTCTTGTTCTTTTTCCCTTTTAGTTTCATGGTAGAGATAAAAAATCAGGTAACCTCAATAACTTGATTTAATACAATCTTAACCAGAAACATCCATGAAAAGACACACATGCGCGTGCACACGCCCCCACGCACACACGCAAAAAATCCCTGAGAGGGATATAGCAATGTCTAACAATACGAGATGTTCTCGGCGGGACTAAAAAACTTACCGGCTAAAACATGATAGAAGGACAATTTTCATCAACAGTAACATCTATGGATGTTTTCTGCAGTAGTTTTGGCTCTTTTATTTTACCCCAGCAGTTAGAATTTTTGATAAACATCAAGTGATGTCCATTTGATATGCAAAACACCTTAACTTTCTTAAGAACAATCACTATAACTCTTGGAATGCATATGTGGTGTGATTATATTGTGACCAATGGGACTCTTTTTCAGCTTGGTTTGATCAAGTACTGCAGATTTTTACAGTTAGTGGTACAAAGAAACTTGTAAGTTCTAGAATATACCGGGAGATTCAACAACTTTTGCTCTAATTTCTTCTCAATTCTCAACCACAACATAGCAATATAAAAAGCTTGTGAGTGTCAGCACATGTTGTTTAATTAGCCTCAACTAATACATCAACTTGATAGTTTACATTTCATCAGCCAAAAAATACCAAACACTAAAAAACTATTGATTCGACTTTGATCATCCAATAATCTTATGATCAAATCTTAGTCAAATATTCCTTTCTTGAGGAATTTCCTGGCAGAAAATGTAATGTTTGTAACAAATGCCTTGTATAAATTCCAAGGGTAAATTACAATTACACCCCTAAACTATCACCTTTTTCTACTTTGACCCCCTAACTATCAAATTTTTCACATTGCACCCTAAACTAACAGTTTTATTTCACATTGCCCCAATCACACATTATCTTTTTAGATGGAAATGGTTGACATGTGGCCGTGTCGGGATAAAGTGAAAAAATTCTATATTTTGGGGGACAAAATGAAATAATTTACCATTAATTATGTAACAAACGTTAATAATTGGGACAATCTGGTAGTTGGGAGGACAATGTGAGAAATCTGATAGTTGAGAGAGCAAAGTGAAAAAAGGGTAAGTGTAATTTATCCAAATTCCAATGATTTATCAATCATTGTTGAAGAATATCTGCAAGCCTGATTTGCCATCATAGAGAACAGAATAAAACATTGCACACTTGTATTAAGCTCTTTAAAACCTTTGACAAGTGAAGTTTTTTTTTTTTAATCATGGTAGACTTGAGATAGCATCAAATATATTTAAATGGTATTGCGTGTGTTGTTTCCAATCAAAATACTAAGGAACTTCTAAAATCAATAACCTAACATGGTGTTATGTCAACCCTTTTTCCCATTTGTCCACACAGAATATATGAAACAATTTTTGTAAGATTTTTTATTTGAAATATGATCAACAGCCGCCATTAGAATAATCAAAACATAACAACAAAGTCATATGTTTATAGTACAAGTGCCAAATAATGGTTTGGCAATCTGAAATGTTACATTAATTATAGAATCAATAATATTTTTCAGTTAAACACAATCATCCTATTTTTGGTGCGATGGAAATTAAGTATGTGTTACAAGTTCGAGTTTTTTTTTTCAAGATGAACGTAAGATTGACTATCACTTATTTCTTTTCAACTTTGCCCTAGATAAAATTTTAGTGCATAGGTATCGAAATTTTTAGTAACCATTCACATTGGCATTCCCATTCGGACTAGGTGTCGAGATCGTTAGAGAAAAAAAAGAGAATGTAAAGGTCCCCCCCCCCCCCCCCCAAAACAACACACACACACACTGAATATTTGCTGAGATAACTAACTTACGTGTTGGTTTGAACTTTCTCAGAGAGCTACTAAACAACACTAAAAGCATCAACACTGGAAGATTTCATTTAGTTATTACAATCAATTAATAAAATTCATCACTTTCATCCACCATACAAGAGGGGGCCAATTTTGTGAAATTTTTTTTTGTTTATTTTAACAGGAAATTGGACGTAAGAAATTGATTTCTACAATTCACATGATTGAACATTAACCGAAGATAATCTCGATATAACTTTCCTCAAAAGAATATTGTGTGCTTGCAATAGAAGATCCTGATTTCATAAAAGAATCGTATGCATGAACCAAACTAGAGATTCATGCGAATCCATGTTGCTAATATTTCAATATTCAAACAAGAACTAAGGCGCTCATTCGACCTGCTAGTAAGACATGAGGTCGAATATATCCCATTACCGCAAGAAAAAAGTCCTTTCTCCTGGAACCAACCGTTATAACATAGAACTACTTGAAAAAAACTCTTCCTTATGCGACTACAAGGAAGGAAAGCAAGCTACCCAACAAAATCAAGCAAATCCCAAATCTCCAAAGATGAAAACTCATCCTTGTCGTCGATGTCAATGGCAAGCCGTTGGAGAAGACCGAAAAATTCACATGCTTCTCCCCAAAGCAATTCATGTCTTGGTAGTGAAGTCTCCATTCCAAAGACAAAGGACTTGAGACACGTCCAAAGCTAAGTCAAAAGGCAACTATTGGACAAAGAAACCAACCTTGTGCTTCTCAAATGCCAAATATGTATTCCCCAATGAAAGTGATGTCTTCAACTTGAGTCCAAATAAAAAAGAGGAATGCAAGACACATCAACAAACACAGCATAAAAGAAATGCATCTGTAGCCAGACCCAGTGGATTTGGGAGACATACTTCATGAAGAATAAAGAATATATGGTAGTTTATATGCGGAGAAAGAACATAACAAACAACAAAAATAATAATCTCTCTTTACAACTGTGTTAAAATAGAATCAATTGCAAGCAAGTAGTAGAATTAAAATGCCAACAATGCGAGACGTGAAAACCTCAAAGGTAAAACAGTCGCAGCATGGTAATACGATTCTAACTACTGCTGCAATAAAAATAGTAGAATTACAACCTGTCTCCCTGGGTATACCTAGAGCTTTACAACTTTCACTGAAGAATAATTCTCAATTCATGTTTACAAAAGCGGAGTAAATTTACTCGCATTGACATACATAACATTACTGTAGCAAACACCCATTCCTATCTGGTGACAAATAGGTCAATGATTTTCAGTTCAGACGCTATAATTCACCTAACTTTCAAACAAGAAAAAGCATGTAATTCATGATGAACTGATAAAGAACAGACTGACAATTGGTAACTTAAATAACCAAGACCCTGTGTGGGCAAAGGGCCTAATGTCACACAAATAAAAACTTGATATAGGAAGGTTTAACTGTTCAGTCCAGATGGATAGAGCAAGTAATAACGCAAGTCGGGTTTGCTTCAGTCATCTGCAACACTTGGGACATGCACACCAACCATTTTAAAAACTTGCCCGTCCGTGAAAGATTTACGTGTGGATCATACTAAACTGGAATCTAGACAGCTGCTGCGGAATGGTGGATATAACAGGTCCATACCTCTGCACAGTAGAAAGGACTACCATAAGAATTCTATGAATAGACACCATTAAAGCTGAGAGTAGGGGGAGGGAAACAAGGAAATGGCCTCCATTTCTAAGACAACTACTCAGAAAGGCATAATTTGTTGAAACACCAACTTGGTTAATTCTTAAACTGTTAGCCTAGGAAGCACAAACACTTCATTTTGGGTAGAATATCTGTGTTGGACACGCTAAAATGAGTGTCCGATTTTTTTTATTAATTTTTTTCCAGAACACTTTTTGGACACATTAGGGATATGCGGCCAATATGCAGACACATTTTGAGATTTATTTTTAATTTTTTGAGAACTTCTTAGATAATTTTATAATTAAGAGTAATTTTTTGTAATTTTAAAGAGATATGAATTACAACCATAATATAAACGAAGTTATAATCATTACATTGAGTATAAGAATATAACATAATTTCAAATACGAATACGAACTTATATACAAATGGAATAAACTTTTAATATGAATTAATGTGACAAAAATGAGATTATAAAATTAGAACTCTTGAAAATTGATGAAAATTAGTAATTCTATATATATATATATATATATCCAGTGTCTGTGTCCGTGCTTCTTAGCTGTTAGAGAAGGTCTAATACATTGGATTCATACACTTCAACACGCCCTCTCAAGTGCATATTAGATTTGGATCAAGCTCATGCAAGCATTTACTCAAATATAGTACCTCCTCTATGATTCCATGTTAAAACACAAACTCATGCAAAAGCTCAAGTTATCAGAGTGGGTAACACAAGTATTCACATACTTTACTATCACTCAACTTCATTTTATTGGTAGATGCTAAAACTAGAAGATGAAACATTGGTGTTCACTGTATAAATGCATGATTATAGGACTTATTAAGTCCGAAACAGAAAAGCTCCACATCCAACTTACCTGAACATTATCATAGAGCTCAAACAGTGGAACAGCAAGAAGTTTCAAATTTTTTGGCACTGCAAAGTACTCTCTCTCAGACAGGTGAACAAGGAAAAGCTTCTTACACTCCTGCAATACCAGGAAAACTAAATCTCACTTTTCAGATTCCATTGTGGAAGACACAATTTTTTTCTGAAGAATTCACCATGATGTTTTTGATCCATACATAGTATCGGGAAAATGGATACAAATTTTTGACTGCTAGTTATTATCGGCAATAGGTGCCAAGTACTACTATTAGCAAATAAGAGGATGATAGGAATAATACGAAACCAGCAAATGCAGGGTAAGTATGATGAGAAGCTAGCCAGAAAAAGATATATACACAAATTAGACTTAGTTTACTTCTTACATGACCTCACCTTCGGTTTTGTTATGTGCGGAGGACAGTAAGGGTACATGATGGTTTCAAAATTTGGCCTCCACCAGATAGCCACACACTCACCTATCTGCAATCACATATTGAGGATTAGAAGAATATGGAACCGAAATCAATTTATATACTAAACATAAAATATCCTTGGAAAAGAGTACAAAAGTGAGAGAAGGGAGCTTTCAGCTCAGTTTCCCAGTTACTACATCATGGTGTAATGCTTAGTAAGTTCTGCACTTTCACTCCAAGCAAATGAAGCATTATTGATTTCTTCTTCTATCCACCAAGTTGCAGTGAATTTTATGATAAGTTTCCAACTTCCCATATTGATTTCCTCAAATCTCTTGAACCTATGTCCAGATGCTAATTATTGAAGCACAAAATACCTGCCAATCAGGCTGAAGAGCAGTTGAATTAGCAGCAAGTTTGCTAGAAAGTTTTCTTTTTAAACCCTCAATTTCTGCAATGTTAAGTAAAGAGCAGAACTGTTAATTCTAAAAATAAAAACATAAGACCATTCACAAGCTAACGGAAAAGTCAGAAAGTGAAGAAATATGCATACAATAATAATGATGAACAGAAGGAGAAGAACAACATTATACCATTCTCTCCCGGCTTCAGACGCCCACCAGGAAGTTTGCAAAATGTGTTTCCAATTTGCAGAAGAAGAATATGGGGGTGATTATGTTCCTGCACCTGCAAGATTGAATCATGTAATCATCACATAGTGTATGTAAAAAGCAGAATAAACATATATGCCACATTTTTACTACTACTGATGTGACAAACAATTTGAAAAATTGAAAAAAAACAAAATACAGGCAGAAAATGTAGTTCATATTGATATAGCCCATAGGCATCATACTATATATGTAGCGCTATCAGGAGGATAGCAAATCAACAGGGGGTTGTTTATAAGCACGTATATGTAGTCTTGTTGGTAAGATAAAATCAAACTGCTACACGAAATAAGTTATCTGCAGAGTTCACATTGAGCACCAAATATGAGATGCATTTGTCCACAGTAGAAATCAGAGAGAAAAAAAGGGGATCGTCATAGCATCTACCAATCCATGCTACTTGTCTATTTTCTGAATCAGAACTCATGTCGAGAAAGAGTGTTCAGATGTATTAGAGTTTTTAAATGAGTAAGGTATCCCACAATTGAACAGCAAAAGATTGCATTCTTGACATGATTCTAACATGGATGACCATATGTCTGTTAATTGCATACAAAATATTCCTACCAAAAATGATTCTGCACAAAATGATGTTCTGCCTATGTTTGATACCTTCTTACCTTAGCTAAAAAAGAAAATCTCCTTCATTGGATACCCTCTGGGAGCATTGTCCCACATCGACTAGAGTGGGACTGGAAGGTGTGGTTAGTAAAGTTGAACAATTCAAAATCCAATCCCTTATGTGTTTTCACAATTCCTTATGTTCCGTTTGGTATAATGGAAAAATGAAAAGATAGAAAGTTGAAAGGATAAATAAAACATCATGTTTGGTAAGAAATGATAGAAAAGTAAATGAATTAATTTTCCTTCTAACTTACCAAAATCGGAAGAAAAATAGATGAAAAGTTAATTATTTGTGTTAAAATGTATTTTATTTGTCTATATATTATGTATACATTAATTTCATATAATAATATAATGATAAAATAAAAATTTTAAATTAAAAAAAAAAAAAAATTATGTTAACTAGGGGTAAAAATTTTCGACTCAACACGATGACACGAACTTAATTATAATTTGACACAACATTGAAAATAATCTGACACGCGAACAAGAAATATAAAAGGCTCATAATTTTATGACTCAATACGAATCTGACACGACACGACTCGATCGTCACCCCTAATATTAGACAAAAAAAAATTTGTCATTTTTATTTTCTATCCATCCAACCAAACATAAAAAAAAAAAAAAGTGTATCATTTCTACTTTCTATACTTGAAGGATAAAAAATGTATCTCTCCTGCTTTCCATCCCATCCTTTACTTTCCATCCTTTCTACCAAACGGAGCATTAGACTAAGGAAAAGCCATTACAAGTGTAACATTTCTCCAGTGGTTTGAGTCTAACCAGAAGTAGCAATTACAATACACTAAACTTGAGTATCGGAATCACAATTTGTATGTATGCCATCTCCCTCATTTGGTTCTTCGATATATCATTAGTGCATTATGACTGGTGAAGAAAGGAGAAATGGGATGTATGTCAAAATTTCTTATGAATGGCTCCCTTTCACGTCACACTTTGTTATGCTTCATGTATTTCAACAACTGGGCACAGCAGGAGCAGATAATAATTGTTTTCCAGAAACACCAAAAAAACCTAATCCTTATTTTCTCACAATCCACAACATTCCCATGGAATTTAATAAAACAGAGTCCTTGGGATATAATATGAGATGTAACTCTCAAACAGATATCAAAACCTTTCTGCTCCTAAGTAGTTGACCTACTCTACAACTCCCAAATTTGAGGAACCAAAAAGACTCAAATTTTTCTCAGCATGACAGGAAAAAGAGGAATCAATAACACGGCCCAATGGTTTTCAAGTCAAAGATCAAAATAGCAACATGAATTGAACAAATCAAAGGGTCTCATCAAAATTGAGGAGAGAGAGAGATTGAATGCACTATCTGTCATATGGTTGAGGGTATTCTTACACATACCAATAAAATTCCTTCGACGCTAGTCCTCATGCCCTCTTTCATATAGCTGCAACGCAATGCCCAATTGACAGAGTCACCATGTAAAGATTATCCTCCCCAAGGGAAAACCAAATAGCACAAAAACGAACGGAAATTCTAAAAGAAAGAAAATTTTCAAGGCTGAAGACTAAAATCCCTATGATCAGCAAGTCTGATCTAGGGTTTTGGTATAAACCCACCTAATTAACTAATGATTTTAGAATCTAGAAGTGATAGTTAAAAACGAAGAAGATGAAATAAAGAACAGAGAAGTTGAACTCACTTGACTTTCATTCGAGCAAGGCGATCAGCAACAGAAGTGTCTTTCTCCATCTTGGGCTCCTTCGTACCGAAGGTGTAGCTCGACAGTGGGTACGTGTTGACCACCGACGAGGTCACCATCTTTTTCGGTGTTTCTCTCTCGCTCTAATTTGGAGGTGGGAAGACGAGAGAGAGAGAGAGAGTACTACTCGAATGTTGGAAACTTCTTGGTGTCAGTCAAGGTCGGCCGTCTGTGATATGGTTACTGGTTAACAAACAAAGATCAGCCCAATGGGCTGAAAGTGGGTGACCCATATAAATAGGGCCGATCTTTGTTCGTTAACCCAAAAATCTCCGTGGTGGGTTGGTTTAATACAAAAAAATTGAATTCGTTTGATATTTTGAAGCCTAAAATCTTTTTCATAATAGTTTATTATTTATGAATATCTTTGTAGATGACCTGTTTTTAATCGGATTGAAAAAGAAATTAGTCAAAGTACGCTTAAGTTAACCCGAACACCCCTAACCGTCGAAAAAAAATATATTTAATCACCACCGAATCTAAGATGGCTAAACAATTGATCGGACATACAACTAAGATTTGTCTTAATTTTAACTTATTCAAACTCGTTCATATTATAAAGTAAATCGTAAATGCTCGGACTTTGAAGCTTGTTCACTCTTCAAGGAAGCAATGTGCTGTTCAGTGCTTGATAAGTTCGAACTAGATTTGTGCGTGATAATTTTGTGGCCATGAATAACCAAGTAATTCTCTACGCTATATTTTTAATAAGAAAATTGTGAGTTTGAGTTTCATTGGTCTTGTGTAGCTCGTAATACAAAAATGAACCAAGTTAGGCAAAAGCTTAAGCATATGAGGCGGAAATCGAACTGCACCTGAGTAAGAATTCAAGTTTTGTAGCTTAACTTTGAGCCTATATACAGTATTCAACTCTATCAAGTATGGGTATCAAAAGTCACAAGATTCTGCTCCATTAACATCCTCTAGGCCATTTAGAGATCTAGCATGGAGACCTATCTACATTGTTGTTTAAGTTTGACACTCACTTGGCTTCTTTACTCTTCATGTTAAACGATCATATCATTTTTGAGTTTCTATCAAGTAATAATCAATAGAGGTTAGTAATAGATGATAAAATATCAACAGAGAATGTCCAGATGATAAAAGCATGATCAAAAGTACCCACATTTTTTGTAGGAGCATGGATGGAATTAGAGGGAAGTTGTGGAAAGAACTTAACCATACTTTGAAAAATTAGAACCATAGATATATAGTTAAGGGTTTCTCGCATTTTAAAGTTAATTAGATTTCAAGTAAACAATGAACAAAGTCTTTACAATTGTACATAGAAATTAAGTAATATTTGCAATAGAGACTGTTGAAGTTCAATGTAAATCCTTTTATATAATAACTTGGTTTGTTGAATCATACAAACTAAAACAATCCAGGCCTCTCGATTATTCTACATTTTCTCTATGCAATCAAATCTCTTTTGGTTGAACTTGTCTGCCCTTGTGTTTGAGTTAAACCTTCTATATGAATATGATATACCCTTCAATCTTGTTGTAAAATGAATGAAAATTATCATCACCTTATGAGAAAGATCTTCTTCTGCCCTCAAAAACTTGCAAAACTCCATTTGACCCACCAGCCACCAGGGTGCACTCATCCTCCCCCACCTGCCTCCAGCACACACTGCCGACGAACCCGCCATCGCAACCACCTCGAGCCGCTGGTCTGAACCCATGCACCCATATGGGCTCACCCCATCTCTTATCATACACAAAAACTTGGTTACTTTCTGAACCACAGCCAAGAAGGCCACCTTTCCTCCACACTGATAAACCCACAAACCTTCTCGTGTTTAAATGCCCCTTGTAGGTTTTAATCAGGTGCGAACCATCTATATTCCACATCTTCAAACACCCATCAGTACCAGATGTTATAATTGTATGATGATCAAGGAATCGAACGTAGGTCACTGATTTGTGATGCCCTTCAAGGACCATAACGGGGTCCACCATGCTCCTCATATCATAGCAGTAGGCCTTCTTGTTTGCACATCCAACGGCCACCAATGCGCCACCAAACGGGTTAAACTCCACACAACACACAGGACTCCGTGTCAAACTGGGCTGTATTATACCCACACACTTCCCACCGTCACAACGTGGATCCCACATTTGCATGGACCCATCATCCGACCCGGATGCTCCGACAACCGGATCCCAACGCGAGTAATCCATGCCCCAAACCCGCCTCCCACCGTGCTCATCCCTCTCAAAAACAGGTACTCTTCTTTCAAGATCATACTCCATCACAACCCCATCATAATCACCCGACCCTAATACCCTTCCATCCGACCCGGGTTTCCACCGGAGACTACTAAGCTTCGCCGGAGTACATATATAGTAATCACATGCACTACCATGATCGGAATATGTAACTCCAAGCTCATTCAGGCTACTTCCATGGGGTAACAAGGAATTCAAGCTATAAATCCTAATCTTTCTGGCTATTCCTCCGCTGGCCAAGAGGGTATCAGACGGGTCGAATTCAATGACGCCAATGGTGTCGGAGATGGCTCCGGCAGTGGTGCTGGAAGAGACAACGGTGGAGAGAGTGAAGTCCCATTCACACCTAGGTTTGTCTTCTTTTTCTTCGTTTTCTTCTGGGGTTGGGTCTTCTTGTTGGTTTTGAAGAAGGAAGGGTGGTGAGAGGTTTTTCATTTCCCATTCATATGAAGTGATGGTTCTATTTGGAGTTGTAGAAGTGGTGGTGGCGATGTGTTGGAGCTTTTTGGTATGTTAACCAATGAAAGGTTCCTATTAGCTTCGTTGTTTTTGGCGGTATAGATAAATGGGGTCCTATGATAGGTTCATTTTTTTTTTTCTTATTTGCATCCATTTGTACAATGACTATGTAGTCTGGATGTTGGGTTTAATAACACTATTGCCATTGGTGGTGGTTTATATTTACAAACTTATGGTGATATTTGGATCGCTACGGAGTATTGGATTGGATTTGAATTCGACTCAATTCAATCCAATGCAAAGTAGTTTGGATTAGAAGATTATAAAGATGAGATTTAAATCTTATCCTATCTTTGGATAGATTTCATGTGATTTGAGGGGCCCATTAACATGTGAAGTTAAAACATACTAAAGTGACCATTTCACATTTGTGTAAAACAATGTGATCTAATTCTATACCATATTTGGAATGGAATAAAAAAAAATTCAATCTATTAGTATTGTCTTTTTTACGAAAAAAAATATGAATCAATAAATTACGTATTTTTTTCAAAATATTGCAATAAATATTTTGTTAAGTTATTTAAATTAATCTGTTCTGTACAATATATTTTTAATCACAAAAATCATCTAAGGCATCATGAAAAAAAAAATTCCAACAGAAAAATAATATACAAATCGATACAATTCAAGCATAAGTCGTTATTTGTTTATTTGTAGAAAATCTGAAGTTGTGTGTTTAAAAATAAAACTTAATTGTTTAAATTGACCTGAACAAATGTGAGAGAGGAATATAGTTCAAGGGCCGAAAGTGTAATTATTACTTCTGAGTTTTCCATTACCTATTTTGGAGCAGTTCTCTTCTAATCCAGACAGTGCTCCTTGTGCGATTTCTTTCATTTAGCTTTGACAAGGGTGAAATAGTAAAAGGTGGTGTGTATCTTGTCGGTTGAAAGTGAATCCCAAAGGCAGCGTGGAATATCATTGTCCAGATGAGAGGGGATAATGAGGGTGAAAAACTACGGCCGTAGATTTTGAAAACCAACGAATATCCAGTCTAAATATCCAATCTCACATGATGGATCCTCCTTTATCCAGTCATCCAAACACGACCCGTGAAGATTATCTAGCACAAGAGGAAGGCTTTAAGTGTAATTTGATCCTCCTCGTAATAGTTTACTAAACAGTCAGGGTAAATTTCATAATTAATCCATGAATTTTAACTTTGGTATTAATTTGGTCCCTAAACTTTTAATTGTCTCAATTTAGTCTTTCAACTATCAATTTTATTTCAGTTAAATTTTTTTTTGTTAATTTTCATTGTTATATTAAATAAAAACATATTGATCTAATGATGAAAAGTGATCATATTAGATTATTCTCTATTTAATCTAATGGTAAAAATAGACAAAATAAATTAAGTAAAACGAAATTCATTAAAAAAATAAAAAGGGACAAAGATAACCCTAATAATGAACAAGATCCAAATCTCTTTTGAGTAAAAATAAACACCAGATGGACCGAAATGTTATTTTTTATCGTCTATGATAATCACTGTCACAAGTCAGCCTTCCTTTTTTAGCATACATAACATAGAACTCTAGCAAGTAATTATCCAAATTTGGGAAGTGATTAGGGTCCACCAGCTTTTTGTTAGCTTGTGACACCCCCTCCTCGTACCTCAAAGCTGTGGCGCTATAATTAACCAAATTGGTCAAATCAACGGTCCTAGATTTCCAAATATTGGGCCTTTTTGGGTATTTCACATTGACCCAAGAGTTTAAAATCTTTTAATCGTACTCTTATATTACTATAAAAGGGTATGTATGTGACTAGTTTCGTTTTTAATACAAGTGGAGGATGTATAAAAGAAATGGTGGCTGTTTTTGTGCCTCAATTGAAGAATTGGATACTGTGGGTATAGGCTGTTGTCTCTAATAATTGAATAGAGTTTGTTTTTTAAAATTAGTCTAAAAATTTATTTAAGTTTGACTTATATAAAAAATGAGTCAAATTTAAAATGAGCCGAGTTCGAATAATTCAACTATTTTATATATAAACGAGCCGAATTATGTGAGTTCGAACTGAGGCTTTTTAGATTCGTTTTCTAAATAAGTCTAAAAATTTGTTCAAACTCAATTTGTACACGAATTGACCTTGAATCGAGCCGAAGCTAAACTGAACTCGAGTAACTCGGTTCAACTATCAACTCTAATTGTCAGCTATTGTCGTAATGGGTTATGAGGTTCAATATTCTGCTTCCATTAATACATAATTTGCTCGTGTGATGCAAGACGTTATACATTACATACTTGAAAGGTTCAAGCTGTAACAAGTTGGTATCACAGCCGACGGCTTGGCTCCTAGTCCTAGATTTCTAGAGATTGGGCGTTTTGGGTATTTCATATGAACTAGGAGTTACAAATTTTATATTCACTATAAATTCTTGGAAAGTACGAAGAGGTATGTGACTAGTTCCAT